TCCTTCCTTCCTTCCTTCCTTCCTTCTTTTTCTCACAAAATTCTCAAACTTTTTTTTTTCCTAATTCCTTCCCTTTCCTTAGGGTGAAAGCGTTTTCTTCGTAATGACCAATTTGATCATCACCCCCAACCAGCAGCAAGACACCTGCGCTGAGGTAGGATGAGACTGAAATTGGCCCGGGTGACGTGCATGCAAGGAATGAGTTCAAGCAGAAGGACTCAGTGTGCAAGCAGTTAGGAGGGTACGCCCAAAGAGACTCTGATATTCGGGTAACAAAGGTTCAAACAAGAAAGACGTCAGTGTGGAATATATTACCAAAATAACAACAACAATAAAGTTGGAAGGGACCTTGGAGGTCATCTAGTCCAACCCCCTGCTCAGGCAGGAAACCCTATACCATTTCGGACAAATGGCTGTCCAGTCTCTTCTTAAAAACTTCCAGTGTTGGAGCAATCACAACTTCTGGAGGCAGGTTGTTCCACTGGTTAATTGTTCTCACTGTCAGGAAGTTTCTCCTTAGTTCTAGGTTGCTTCTCTCCTTGATGAATTTCCATCTGTTGCTTCTTGTCCTGCCTTCAGGCGCTTTGGAAAATAAGCTGACCCCCCCTCTTCTTTGTGGCAGTCCCCCCAAATATTGGAAAGACTGTTATTTAAGTTTGTTTTCCCCACAATATTTGAAACATTCTTACTGGTTAAAATTTTCATTACACTTAAGTATTAATGTCTTTTTATAATAATAAAATTGGAAGGGACCTTGGAGGTCATCTAGTCCAGCCCCCTGCTGGCTGAGGAATTCTGGACGTTGAAGTCTGTGAGTCATAAAAGGGCCAAGTCTGAAGACCCCTGGTCTGGATCTAAGCCCGCCATTTCATCAAAATGGTCGACTGAGGAATTCTGGGAGTTGAAGTCCATGAGTCATAAAAGGGCCAAGTCTGAAGACCCCTGGTCTGGATCTAAGCCTGCCGTTTCATCAAAATGGCCGACTGAGGAATTCTGGGAGTTGAAGTCCATGAGTCATAAAAGGGCCAAGTTGGAAGACCCCTGGGCTAAAGCTTCTTACATTATTGCAGAAAAGGCAGTGAGTTTGATGGGGTGGGGGGGAAACCATTATATGATTGTATTGTTCTTGGCTGCTGGGTACAAATATTTATTGGTGTTTTGCCTTTGGTCAAGGCCATTTAAAAGGTCCAATCAATTCGATTTGATGCCAGGAAGCTATAAATAATACAATGTTCAGCTCTGGGAGATCTGGAGTGGGAATTGCCCTTTACTATAAATAATCACAAGAGGGAAAGCAAAGGATGATAAGTGGAGGCTTAAAATATTTCAGGGTCATTTTTTCCCTCTCCTTTGGAATTTATTTATTTATCTTTCCTCTTTCTTAACGGCCCATCTCTCTCAGAATCAGAATTGCAAATAGTGTACAGGGAGTCCTCGACTTACAACCACAAATGGAGTCCTCAATTTCCTTTGCTAAGCAAGACAGTCATTAAGTGACTGTTAAATATCAGATCCTCCCGCCTCCAGCTCTTTTCATCCGACTCCTTCCCGTCTTTTAGCAATTTTGTATTTTATATATTTTATAGTTTTTTAGCACTCTATTATATAGTTTTATTTTTAAATACTGTAAGTTGGCCAGAGTTACCCTGTGGTATGATGGGTGGTCAATAAATGAGAGAGAGAGAGAGAGAGAGAGAGAGAGAGAGAGAGAGAGAGAGAGAGAGAGAGAGAGAGAGAGAGA